TCTACAAATTCAATTTCGAAGCTGTACAATCACAAATATATACTTATTTTTCAAGATGACAAGGTATTAAGACGTTATTATTGTCAGTGAGATTAATAATATTTAGAGATTATGATGATGATGATGATGATGATGATGATGATGATGATGATGATGATGATGATGATGATGATGATGATGATGATGATGATGATGATGATGATGATGATGATGATGACTAGCAGTGGAATCCAGGAATCGCGCTTCATTCTATTTGGGACTGGTTAGTTGGTTGTACCTACGTCTCGGAGATGATGATCGGTACAGGACTCCAATCCAGCACCAATCTCTTCAAACAACATCACGTTCTGCACTTAGCTACTGAGTGCGAATAGCCACCAGATTGTGCAATCGGGTGAAGTTCATTTCAACTTTATATTGTTTGTTTAAATATCCTCATTGATGCTTGGGACTGTAAATGATCGGTCTTTTATTATTATTATTATTATTATTATTATTATTATTAATACTTAATAGTTGAATTCATGAGTCAATTGAAGCTAGACCACCATGGAAAACCTGGAAACACTGAACGTCCGTATTGGACTCCTCAGCAGTGCGCATACATGGTTCCGCCTCGTGAGATTACGGCCAAGGACCCATGAGTCTCGCGCGTGAGGGCTGGACCTCTAGACCACCGAGCCAGAATCCAACGGTGTTGATGTCTAATTTCAACTAATCCACTACCATTATTATTATGAATACTGCTATTATTATTGTTATTACTGTTAATGCTAATATTATGAGACTGATCAATTGCAGTGCTAAAGATAAATGGGAAGATTCAAAAAACCAATACTAAATTGAATGAAACGAACAAAAGTTTTATTGTTCAGGGTATCGTTATATTATTTAAACTTGGATAAAGTTTGATTTCGTCATTTATTCTATGAAGAAGTGGATTACACTGAGTCACGAAACGTCAGAAAATCTAATTCTTCTACTCATTGGGATATTAAAAATATATTATTTATTTAGAATAATAACTTTATTGTTCAGGGTTGGATTATTCATAATGGAGATAGATTAGGAAATTACAATAATCAAGGCAGGTTCAGTATGATAAGAGAAAATGTTGAAATTGTGATGAAGTGTGGTGAGGAGGATAATAGAAATAGAAATGTACCCGTTGGAAATAAAAGTTCTGTGGAGAAGATAGAAAGGGAATCATATGGCTTTGGGGGCAGATAAGTATGAAGAAGAAAGAAAATTACTGGAGATTAAGAACATGGTAGAATAGGAGGCTTTGTCACTTTCTTTTTGACACATAATTCGGTTTTTCAAGATGTATAGCTAATGCCTCGTCAATGTTGGGATGATGCAATTTAACCGCATTTGGCAGCCTTCCACTTACCTTGTAGATAACTTTCAACACAGAGTCCACTTTGATTGAGTGACCTGTGTTCACGAGGTGTTCGATCATTGCGCTTCCTATCGATCCGTTTCCACCTCAGTTTAACCAATCCAGACAATGTTCTTGAATTCACTTGGATAAAGTACCTGGCATCACATGAACAGGTGGATTGATAAATGCACATAGAGTCGGTTAACTGAGACAATTTATCCCTAAGATTATTGACGGATATTGATTGTCTTGGGGACAGTATTCGTGAAATTGTTGAAAAGAATATTGTTTTTAGGGAATCGAAAATACTCCACTTCAGCACGTCTGTCACTATCAATTTGAAATCGATGTTCATATGAAATATTTTGTTGTCAAACGAGGCTATTTGTCCTTTATGTGGTTTGGGTTTTATATTCTTGTCAATAAATATCGAAGGATACCCGTTTTTAACAGGTATTCTCCTAAGAAGTCTCCGCTCGTTATCTATGACGTCGAGAGTACAAATTCTTTGTATTCGAGTAGCGAGTGATATGAATAAATTTCAGTTATCGAGGCACAACTATGAAAACTTGATAGCTAGCCATTCCATTAGGGTCTCCCGTAGATAGCTCTTCTTATAGTTCTGTCGTCTTTTATTGTCTCTTCAACATCAAGGAAGTGAATATTTTGTTAATTTTCGACTTCAAGTGTGAAATTCGTCGCTGAGTGACAGTTGTTAAGTGTCTCAGAAGATTATTCAAATCATATTTGTTGTCACAAATAATAAAAATATCATGCACGTACTTTTTATGCAAGTGAAAGGTGTCAATAGTCGATTTAAGTTGGTTGTTTTGTAGACTGGTTATGAATCAATCTGCTAGTAAGAGGGGATCCAATTGCCATGATATCCTTTTGTCTACGAATTATCACTTGACTACAACCAGTTAGTTGATTGATTGCATATGCCTCACACGTATCCTTTATTCAACTAATTTAGTTTGAATTAATTACATCAAGTGATGAGATTGGTATATGTGAGTTGATGGGCAGAAATATTGTCATCAACTCATTTGTGACGTTTGCTTTCGACGAGATCAACTAGTTGCTATCTGATTAGTAGCTATCTGACTCAGTTGTCTGGTTGTACGCCGCATATTGAGTTCTCCACAGGAGGTGCTGAATTCGTAGATAAACATGGACATGGCAGAACTAGATAACATATCCTTTAGTTGATGAATCACCATAGATCCTGTCGAGAACAATAGACAGAACACACTGGGCCGTGCACATCATGACTCTATCATTTGCCAAAATTCCACAAGTCAAGTCCTCCACTTCGTCCAGTTTTAGATACACATAATTCACTATACCATAAAACTGCAAAGGGATTACTTCAAATCCTAGATCTTCTGCACAACGTAGTCGTCACATGAGGCGTTAAAGACGTTTTCGATTTCATTTCCAAGGTGAAACATACATAATTAAATGGGAAACAGGCGATATCTCTAGATTTTGCTTCCATGTTCACCAATGTATCAATAACTGAGACTATTGAGTTTGTGTGCCAACAACTACTTGTAAAATGATCAATATTGGAATTCCGGATGTTCGTCTCAAAGAATTACTTCTGAAATATACAATCAACGTCCATTTTGTCGTTAATAAAACAGATTATAGACAGTGGAATCCAGGATGAGGATTTCGTCGTATTTGAGACGCGTCAGCTGGGTTCATTTACATATCAATATTGATGTATTCACTGAGACTCAAACCCACTGACTATCTCTTCAAACACCAACACATTACCATTTAAATTACCAAGTTCGGACGGTCATGTGTGGCAAAATATCTGATCAATGTCAGTCCCAAAATGATGGACAAAAACTTATATCTGCGAACTCGTTGAACAATTCAGTGACCACGACCAATCCATCCAGCTCACAGAAAAAAATTCCATCAAAACCATCCAACTGAGTTACAAATCTTATCCACCATCTCATAATTATGATTTAAATATTTTCTCAAAATGATATTCATCTATTTAATTAACGGTATGCACTAAAACAACATACCTGATCTGAATAACATTTGTGGAGCCCGTAGAGTTCGTCTGCGGCTGCGGGCTCACCACTTTTTGTGGGGCTCGTTGTTTTATATAATCATTTAGACCGGACGATGTTGCCGAACGGCTATCCACTTTAGTAGCCCATGATCTTACTCCAAGTAGATCGCATGAATGATTGTTATTGAAATATATGTGTCGCCCATCCTTGTATATAATCATCGACTTAAATCGCATTAGTTTATAACGGAATTAAATAAGTCAAATAATGAGAGTGGACTTTTGAATGCTTATATTTTGTATAATCGTTGATCAGAAGAACGAACGGGGGAACGATGTGAAGAGAAGAAAGCGAAGCAAAAATGATGCGCGGTGGAGACGGCTGGTAAGCCAACCCCCGTTCATGATTTCAAATATTGAAATTACCATTAAATTTTATTTATTATCATGCAATATTTCACTTATTACTGTCAATTCTCAATACAATGAGAAATAAAAAGTAATTATTATCCAAACTAATTAATTATGATTTATTTGAAGTTTTGTTCCCTGAGCTGGATGGTTTGATCATGGAGCCCTCATCGTTCTTCTGAACGACATCATTAGCACAAACTCCATGACCAAACCATTCAGCTCAGAGAACAAAATTCTATCAAAACCATCCATCTGAGCTACAAATCTTATCCACCATCTCATAATTATGATTTAAATCTTTGCTCAAAATGATAACATTTTGTTTAATTAACGGCGTACACTAAAAGAAAATACCTGATGTGAATAACATTAATGTCGTGTGACGTATTTTATGTAATACACACATACTCGTATACAATGGAAAACAACATAAAGTGGTATGGAATGCTGGAGATGGCAACAGTAAGAAAAGAATTACTAGTTTCAATTCCCATAGTTAAAGATCAAAACTGAACTGGTTTAAGGATAAACAGGATTGACTCATGGGATAATAGGAAATTGTAGTTCAGATGTGCTAAATTGTCGAACGGTGATAGCTTCTACAAACCTAGTAATATCCTAATCGGTAATTCCTATTACAAAGATTTTTAAAGTTATTTCTAAGGTCAATCATATGACCTGATATAACTAGAAACAAAGAAACAATAGTAACAATATTGAGCCATAATAATAATAATCATTGTTATTATTATTGTTATTATTCAGGATGCAATAGAATAATATTTATATGCATGTAACTGAATCAATTAAATTCATAGTAGCATGAGAGTATTGTATGAATATTTGTATCATTGTGTTAGTAGTGTGGAACAGTAAAAGATCATAATTTATTGATGAATAAGTCCTATACTTAATTTATCCTTAGATTGTCAATCGGATTCATAGAAAAGCAATGATAATGATTACAAGTTATTAATTTATTTACTTGAGTATATCTACACTGCAAATACTAATGTACTGTCATATACAAGTAAACGACTTGACGTAACTTATTTATCAAATGTAGATTGGTATACGTTATGTCTGCATCGCCTATTACTCATATGGGGAAAACGAGGAGTCAATACAATTTCTCCGACACCAAATAACAACACACAAGACTGATACAAGGAAAGATTTTTTCACCACAAAAATACAACGACGACTCTAATCGGAAATACACTCACTTATACTGATTTACTGATTTGTACACCCATCTGATTAGTCAGTAGGGAAAAGTCACATGTATGTAAACTGTTCAGAATCATAACAAATCACATGCTGCATATCATGCTGAATATGTGTTACATGCGAACGAAGAATAAATGAATGGTGACTACTTGGAATTATATATGAATTATCATTACATATATTCTTACTGGACAATTAATAAGTAACTAGGGTATGTATATATATATAATCAAATGTTTCAAAAGATGGTTAAATAATTAATTGAAATATTGTTTGAAAGTACATACCGAAAACTGAATACATAGACAACAGAAATAAATCATGTACAAATCACTATGATGAATAGTTAATAGAAATTCTTCTATTCGAACTATTAATGATACTAACTTATCTACTGCCCACAATCAAGAGTACATATGGATGTAAGTTTCTGTGCATTTGTGAGAATTATACAGATTTGACTGTGTATATAACAATGTTGAACTTGAGACTACATCAGTGTTTTCTTTATTTTGATTACTTCGATTCTTAAATAAAATTATCATTCAATATAAAAATAGTTTTGTCTCATATTGTAAAGAACTAGGTTATACAATATTTAAGAGTAAGAGAAACGGGCAATTGAGTCTTCTAAATAAATTATTTTAATGTAATCAGAAAGTGTGTGTAGTGTTGTTTCTCAAAATAGGTTGAAACTTTATATTTTACAGAATTCAATCCATCAGTGAACATACGACTGGATGCATTTCTTAATGAACCAAGTACTGAACGTCTATTCCCTCGAACCTGTTTAGTGTGAGGTTGAGCAAGATATCTGCCTACTGAATTTTCAATATGTTTATACACAATATTTGATGCTCTCAGTCGCCTCTCCAAATCATCATCCTCTCCACCCCAACCCCAATAACTATTCGAATAACCATTAACCTGTATAAAGTGTGGAGTCGATATTTTCAAAACACCACCGATCAATGTTTTGTAAGGTAAAACATAATTCCATGAACTCACTCCAACACTCAAATGAACCACACTCTCCATCGTCTCTTCATCACAACCATGTGGTATTCTATCATCCAATGGTATTAAGTCGGCATCATGAAATATAACACAGTTGAAATCAAAACGTTTACGTGCTTCAATAAAACCAATGTTCATCAACTGAGCTTTGTTCAAAATACCAGTACCCTGTTGTTCAATAACAAATATTCGATAACACAAATGTTGTCTCTGGAGAACTGGAATCAGAGCGGACAATGTATTATTCAGTTGTTTCCATCTATCTCTACAAACGATGATGATTGCTGCACCGGATTGTGGAACGTTGTTGCAATTCGTCGTCTCCTCCTTAAACATCCAACCGCCACCAAGATCATGTGAATAAAATGTGTCGTTGATTGGATTCACCTCTTCATTGAATTCACCATTGAATGGCATTTTCCCAGTTGGTTTCAATGCACTCACCTTACTCGATGGAATACTATCAATATTCGTGCAAATAGTACGACATGTGCGTTTACATTCAATATGTGTCATATTCGGTACAGTAATTGCTTTATCAGTGTGATTTCGTATGGTAACATATTTGACAGTTGTACGTATGAAATATATTTGTAATATGAAAATTATACAAAGTGTTAATCCGATTGCTTTCAGAATTGCATAATAAATTCTGAACGATGATCTCTTCCTGGAAAACATTTGATTATACAATGCTTGTTTTTATAAAACACAATGGTAACAACGGTAATAATAAAAAAAATAAACGTTGAAGAATCGGGTGCTTATTATCTAATTGACATTTTAATTGAGACATTAAACCAATTGATTTTGAGTATTATATTGACCAATTGAATTTTGACTTTTGTTTATAGTGGTTAATTGATTATTTCTCTACCACATTTCTCTATAACACTGCACTGAAGACTATTAAAAGATAGAGTTCAGTAAACTGTCATTTTAACATAGATCTATACTGTCGTCTGTTCTTAACTTCCACTTCTCAACTCATTCACCAGATGCTTGGGTTTGAGCCACACTGTAAGCGCAATGTCCAAAAATAATCGTCAATCGTTTAAACAAAGTATTTAAAGAGCACTTTGAACCTGCGGTTTATTAGCTGAAAGTCACTGAAATAACACTCCACAATGTATTCAAACTCCATAATCCCAACTTATTTAATATGAGATTAAACGAACTTGTTTCTTGGAGTGGTTCTGATATAAACTTTTGTTGGCTCAACCATTAGATTATTTCTTTGTGGGTTGTAGTGGTCTTTTGCCATTTTCAGATTATCATAGAGCCTCAGTGAATAATCGAATTTTATGCTTTTGATCAACATGAAGGGGTAGGAGTTTTTCTATGATAAGAAGGTATTAACTCGGCTTTCATCATGTGATTGTACAGCTATCATGTTCATATCCACGGTAAAGGAAAATGCGGGACAGAAATGGTTGGCGAATTTTTGTCAGTAACCTACGCTCAAGTAGGGATAACAGGCGTAAGTAAGCAGCTGATGAATTTGAAATGAGCGAACGAAATATCCCTAGTCCCCAGAAATCTAGAACTTCGACAAGACATAACCAAGAACTCGAACTTGAAGTGCTCTGTTAAAAATTATGTCGGGTTTGTTATGACTTTAAGTCCAACTAGTTATCACGTGATTTATCCGCTAATCGAAATACGACTTGTTCGATCTTTACACTGTGCTAAACCAATGACGTTCGACCGGTATGAGCAGTCTAGCACCCCATGTTCGCCTAGCCTGTTCACTTGAGTCCAAAACACCAATACCAGCTTCCACTATGCGAATAATTTATTTCAGACATACTGGGTTTATATATCAAACAAACAGACCTCAACGCACCATAAAATAGGAAATAACATTTATACACTATAAAGTCAAAAAGTGGCTGTGAACGTGGGAGACGATAGTTTGTAAACTGAACATAATCTAGGAACAGTAAAGCGTATAATAATTTATAGGTCAAAATGAAGCTGATGATAAAATGAATATAAACATAAACAGTCTAATTACTGAATAGTTATACCACAAGAATATATAGATAATATTAGTCCATTAATAGGTCTCAGAAGTTACTTGTAATTTAACCTTAGCTAGGATATAACAGTGTTGATATAGCGTTTTTCTATCTCTTTGATATTACTCGGATTCACTGATGTGATAGAAGTCTGAAAAGTTCGAACGAACTTTTCTGTTAAACCATGAGACTAAGGATTTCGTGGAGCTGTAAATCGATGGCGGTATCCAATTTTAGTAAGCCAGCTGTTAAACTTTTCCTGTGAAATCTGTATGTGGTTTCCTTTTAGGCACATAGTGCTCACTAGTGAAATGATAAGCACCTAACTCTAAATTTGTTTCTGGACCATGGCGGCGGATCGCCAATGAGATTTTAGGGGCTGGTACTATATCAAGCCCATAAAGGTTATTGTAACCTCTCAACAAAACAGTCTATTCATTCTCTTCAAACCACAATTTTATCTCGTCACTTATCCGCTTATCAACTCTGACTGCTTTCATACGATTGAATGTGTCTTAATTATCTACCCTATTCTTTGTTTTTTATAAATAACGAGATACGATTTAAACTCTAATGTAAATCCAAGAATCATTCGTAAGTCCCAAGGACTAACTCAAAAAAAGGAAAATATAGCCAAATAGAAAATGACGCATTCGCTTTGTTATCGCCTGTCCGTCGTTTTCGCGACCTTGTATGTCAGTCAGTCAGTCAGCTACAACGTAGGATCAGACACATATATGCATCGGTCCAAGTTGCCATACCTCATTAGCACAACAAGATGAACACTGGACTCATTGAAGTAGTTAATTCAGTGGTGGTAATATATAGAAGAAAGATTGCATATAAGGAGATAGTACAGGAAGAAAGAATTAGTTCGTAGAAAGAAAGATATGAAGTGATTTTAATCTCCTAGTTTAGGGAAAGACAGAGTGTATACACGCCATTGCGATCGATTCTGAGCCATGTCACTCACAGTCTCCAATCATTGGTTACGATAGTCACGCGGACCCCAACCAAGCAGTCTACATCTACCAACATGGCTCAGACTAGAAGTTAGTGTCTTTAAGCACTGGTTCCACGTTTTGGTTTGGCCACCCATAACCTTCCTCCAACCATCCCCAACACCGGTTAGCATTGCACGTCGTGGCAATCGGTGTTCAGGCATACGCAGCACGTGACCCAACCATCTCAGTCGATGAAAATTCACAACCTCATCAACTGACTTACCATCATTCCCAAATACCCTGCGTCTAACCTCATTATTACTTACCCGGTCACACCAGCAGATGCGAGCGACATTTCTAAGGCATCTGTGGTCAAATGCTAGCAACTTACGAGTGTCTTCCACTCTTAATGGACACGCTTCGAAGCCATAAAGTAGAACAGAACAAACTGCCGCGCAGTATACTCGTCCCTTAATTGATAAAATCCTTGTATGTGGCCGAAAGTTTACGCTGTAAACATAACACAGCCCCTAGCTTGGTTTTTCACCCTAAGTCTTGGGTACTGTCACACACTACGAACCTGATACAGAAATGTGCTCTAATGTGACTACGATATGATTTCGAAATATGATACCATCAAACGGAATGGTTTTGACGGACGGATATGCTGCTCTGAATGGTATGTGAGCACTTGACAGAAGCCGAATAATCAATAACCCCTACGCCATCTACAAAGGATCGTGCATTAAATCACTTGTCCAGCACCATAATTTGAGATAACGAATCGAGACATTTTAGAGAGTCCTGTCGCAGTCATGCGATGGGCTACCAGATCATCCATAATGAAATGAACCTTTAGGTAAATTCTTTTCAAACCAAAGGGAAAGGGAACGGAATAAATACTACAGTTTTTCTTTTAATTAAATCATGCAATCCTTAATGACGCAACCCCCAATAAACTAATATATATATATATATATATATATATATATATATATATATATATATATATATATATAAATGCAAGAAGAATATTGTATGGAGAAACCAGTGGATCAGATATCACAATTAACCATATAAGAGAAATACTGCTAAGCCAGCTAAAACCCTAAAATACAATCGCATATCTTCAGCGTGACAATCCTAGAAAGACCAACATCTCAAGCGCCCGAGCAAGATTTACGAACACGAAGATGCGAAAAACTCTACCCAGAAGATTTTCAATAACATTTAAACCATAGTGACCAAATTTTGTTAGAATTGAGTGATTACTTTGATTTATCAAAACAAGAGCCTTACATAATCATCAATAAGTAGAATTACCGCCGAAATAGTTGATGTTTGGTTTATTGTGATGACTTTGCCATATTTGGCTGAAAATAAACAACATAAAACTGGAACACAATAAAGCACAAGTTACCAGGGTTTTTTCTAGAAATAGATTAGCTCACTTAAATTAGAAAAAATAAATATGGTACTGATTTGAAATCAATGTATTTGTCAGTTCAACGGAAAGATTTTGAAGAATGACTTGGATATTATGTACTGTTTAATCAGTTGCTTATTTTGATAAGAATTCACTTGAAATCTGTAACTGTCGACTATGAAGATCATATTTCATGTACTATTGGTAAGTGTGACTAGTCATTGGAATTCTGTGAAACATTTGCTCTGTACTTCAATTGCAATCCTTAGAACAACTCATTTCTGATTAGTGTCAGACTTCGTCATAAGTAGAGACAGAGTGGTTGTCATGACAAGAGTAAGTACTAATGTTTTATATAACTATTGACAGATGTTCGGCAGCCATATGGGAACAAAAAAAATATGAATAACTAAGTATCTGAAATAATAGTAAAAATCTAAGTAGGAATATTTCATGGACTTCATTGTTATTGTGTAGCGCGTGTTTCGGTGCTCCTTTTTACCAATGTTTATGTGTTCAAATAGGTAATAAATATAGATGGCAAAACTTAAGAGTAATGGTGAGACTGGGAAACCCTTGCCGACCCCACTGCTTGAATGGAACAGTGGAGATAGGTGCTTGTATGTACTCACTCTGCCTGAGGTGTATGTATATAGGGCTACTAAGATGTTAATAAACTTCTCAGACACACCCTTCTTCAATAGACAATCCTACAGAACAGTCCTGTGCAACGAATTGCAGGTAGCCCTAATGCTAAGAAACACTACAATTATTGACTTGGTATTGTTTATTCGAATCTTCCTATTGGTGTTTAAGACTGAAAGTGATCAGTCTCTTATTGGCATATGTGCATACCGTGTAGATTGCCTCGATATTGCCTTAATTTACAAGCATTATAAGCAAACATGGGTAGTTGCTAGCATAGGAATCCAGGATGCGCGTTTCGTCCACAAGGCAGTGGAGCATCGTAAGGAGGTACAGTCCCATGGTAGCCGGTCACCAACGATTGGTTCGCACGCCATTTGTTTTTTCAGGTACCTGAGATCCGGTTAAAGCGCCGACTATTAAGTGAAACGTGGATCATCAGACGAATTACTTTATCATATTTAACAACACCGTTTTGAGATAACGTGGAAACAAGTAGTGTAGTGAACATAAGTGGGCACAAATTACAGAACCATACAGTAAACACTTAATTTGCAAAATGTTAATCAATTGTCTCAAATTTGGCTGTTCCTTTTGCAAATATCAGTCAGTCGTCTCAGACTTCATTGTTCCTGCATTTTCATACCAATTGCTTTCTGTTCCCGTTCTTTTCTCCTCGATCTTTTTGACCTCCTGCTGCCAGAC